AAATATCAAAAAACTATAATATAATAATAAAGAAGACATAAAAGTTGATCTTCACTCTCATTTTTTAGACTTCTATTGCTATCCTTATTGAAACAGATATTTAGAGAGAAAAAGTTTTAAATAATAAAATAACATCCTATTATATAAAATGATTATAAAACTCAAAGTGTCAACTTAAAAAACAAATTATTCAAATAATCTAGTCACCAACTTTTTTGTTATGTTATGTTAGTTTGTTATGTTAGTTTTGAATGATGTTGAGTTTATATAATCTTTATACCATTTGTATTCAATCAGTTATTATTTACCATACTTTTTTTTCAACTTTTTTTTATTAATTCTAGTTTATTAAATAAATAAATTTTTCTAATTTGATTTGTATTAAACGTTACATTATTTTATATGTACATATCATTCAAGTATAATTTATATGATTTTTATATTTCATGAATTCTTATAAAACAGTTTCATTTTCACCATAAAATCACTTCTTATCTTTATTATATAAAAAGTAGGAATGTATGCAACGCTCTATAATTAACTATAATCCCGCCCATAATCTAATCCACTATCCATGACATTGAATGAAATAACTTCTCACATATCCCATCTTGAATTTCACATAAGTAGATATACGTTTTCCAATATTATAGTATCAAGCATCAAAGATAATAATGAAAAAAATTTGAATTGAATTAAATTGAGTGACACAGATAATGGCTTTTAAATATTTGATTAGTTATACTACTAAATTTATAGGGAATAATTACGTTATAATTGATAGATATTATTAAGGGATTTGAGTAATTGAAAATATGATTATAAAGAATAATTGTTTTTAATAACCCGTAATAAACCATGAATAATAATTTATAATAATGATAGACTTATAGGTCAAAAAATACAAATGAGTATTATTACCTCTAAATAAAAAATAAATAGAGATAACAAAAATAGAAATTTGCATTAATATATGAGGAATTCTTTTATTTTATGCTTAAAAATTTATTGTAAGTAATTATTAGACATTATTAAGAGAGCACAATAATATGAGCTATTAAATTTTAAGAGAAAAGTTTAAATTCAAAAAAATATAATTAAGAATACAGAAAAGTTGATCTTCAATCTCATTTTCTAAACTTCTATTACTATCCTCATAGAAGAAGATATTTAGAGAGAAAAACTGTTGTATAATAAAATAATATCATATTATATCAAATTATTACAAAATCAAGATATTTTAACTAATTAGGATTTAGAAATATTATATATATATATATATATATATATATATATATATATATATATATATATATATATATATATATATATATATATATATATATATATATGTATATATATATATATATATATATATATATATATATATATATATATATATATATATATATATATATATATATATATATATATATATATATATATATATATATATATATATATATATATATATATATATATATATATATATATATATATATATATGCTTGATAGATTATTATGTTCGTTTTGGAATGATCTTAAGTTTATATAATATTTATCTCATTTGTTTTCAAATTCAGTCATTATTTACCTATTTTATATTTTTATTTTTAACTTTTTTTTAAATTCTAATTTATTAAATAAATAAATTGTTTTAGTTAAATTTATATTAAAAGTTACATTGTTTTATAATAACATATCATTCAAGTATAATATAAATGATTTTTATAATTTGTGAATTCTTATAAAACAGTTTTATTTAAACCTTAAATAAATGATTTTTATTTAAACCTTAAAAATACTTCTTATCATTATTATATTAAAAGTTGAAATGTATGCAACACTATATAATTAACCATAATCCTGCCCATTATCCCATCCACTATCATGACATTGAATAAAATAACTTCTCGCATACCCATACATTAAACTCTTGAATTTCACTTCACATAAGTAGAGATATGGTTTCCAATGTTATAGCATAAGTCATTAAAGATAATGAAACACCTTGAATTGAATTAAATTTAGTGGCATAAATAATGACTTTGAATATCTGTTTTATTATACTACTAAATTTATAGGGTTTAATTAGATTCTAATTAATAGATATTATTAAAGTATTAGAATACTCGAATATATGATTATAAAGAATAATTATTTTTAATAACCCTTAATAAATCAAGTATATTAATGTATAATAATCAGACTTATAGGTAACAAACACGCAAATGAGTATTATTATCTCTTAATACAAAATAATTAGAAATAACATAAAGAGAAATCCGTAATAATATATGAGGAATGATTTATTTTTATTCTAAGAAATTTATTATTAGTAATTATTAGATATTACTGAGAGAGCAAAATAATAAAAGTGATTAGATTTTAAGAGAATAATTTAAATTTTAAAAAAAATATAATAAAAAAGACAGAAAAGTTGATATTCAAACTCATTTTTTTAACTTCTATTGCTATCCTTATTGAAGAAGATATTTAGAGAGAAAAAGATTTGTATAATAAAATAACATCCTATTATATAAAATTATTACAAAACTCAAAGTGTCTACTTAAAAAACTAATTAACCAAATATGTTAGTTTTGAATCATCTTGAGTTTATATAATCTTTATCTAATTTGTATTTAAATTTAGTTATTATTTATCTTTTTTTTATAACTTTTTTTAATTATAATTTATTAAATAAATAAATTGTTTTAGTTTGATTTGTATTAAACGTTACACTATTTTATATGTACATATCATTCAAGTATAATTTATATGATTTTTATATTTCATGAATTCTTATAAAACAGTTTCATTTTCACCATAAAAACAATTCTTATCTTTATTATATAAAAGTAGGAATGTATGCAACACTATATAATTAACCCTAATCATGGCTTATTCGGAAAGTTCATGATCCCCAAATCCTAGCAAGCAAGGCAAAAAGATTTTTGTTAATATCCCCAGGTTTAGTAAGGAGAACAAGAGGCATTTTTCAGGTAGTGAAAATTTGAGGAGGAATATTCAAACTGGTCGCTCTAGGAATCTTTTGAAACCCGATAATCTGGATAGGTCATTTGCCAAATTGGTAAGAGGAGATTACTCTAAGCTTGTTGATAGGGTCAATGCACAAAATTAGAGGTGGATGATGAATGGTTAAGGAGATTAAATCGTATGAGAGTGGGTGAAGTCATGGAAGATGGAAATGCACTCAACATTTGGAAGATAATTTTTGAAGAAGGATATTTTAACATTAAGGCTACTCCCATGGGAGCATCTCTGTGCTTGTTGAAAGATACTTCTGGAGGTGACTTTGAGGTGTTTGTCAAGGAAGCTAGTGAATGGTTGGATATTTGGTTCAGAGACATTCGCAAGTGGAATATGGAGGAAATTGATAGAGACAGGATAGTGTGGGTAAATTGCTATGGTTTACCTTGTGTCGCCTGGAGTGAGAATAATTTTAGGCAGATCTCTTATAGTCTGGGAACTTTCGTCAAGTGCGATGAGAAGACGAGGAATAAAGAGAGTTTGGACATAGCGAGATTTCTTATTAAAACAAGATTAAGGTTTATTCTGAATAACATGGTTGACATTGAAGTGAATAATCACACCTTTTCACTATTTTTTTCTGAAGATCTTTCGTGGGGGCGTGGAGATCCCTTGTTTGGTGAAGAAGATGAGGTGATAGATTCTGATGATTTTGAATCTTCAAACCCTTCAGAATTAGATGGCGCGTGGGAGGTACCTGAAGAGGAAGAGAGTGATGATCTCAACTTCTCGTATTCCGAGACAGAAGTCAGAGCCCCGCCTACTGTAGTTCAAAAGGCAGATTTTGATTTTTCTGTATCAGACGACGAGTCTGTTGTTAGGGATATCATAGGGTTAAGTGTGGAAGGTGATGGGTCAAGAGGGAACAACCATAAGAGTTCATATACTTTGATTCGTTTAGAAGGAACTAAACCATATAACTTTTTGGCTGACTTAGAACTTAATCAGTCCAAAGAAGCTTTTGAGTTACTTAGTCTTAATGGGGAATTGGTGGTAGATTTGGGGCTGCCTTTACCAATTAGTGGGCCTTCTTGAGGAGTTATTGGGTTTGCTGTTAGAGGTAAAGTTAAAAAGAAAAAACTACTTCATGAGGTCTATAACTGCATTAAGATACCTTACACCCCCTCTTACTTTTCCACCCTGCTTCTCACGACCCCCAAGGATAACTTTAGACCTGTGTAGAAGGGAAATGCTAGGGAGGAAAGGAAGAAGAATAAATTGTATAAAGAATTCTCAGAGTCTAGTTCTGCTCTTTTGTGTTGTGAATCGATAACTGACACTGATGTAGAAAGAGGCAACTCGAGATGCAGAAGGGTCATTGAAGAAGTTCCATCAAAATTGGGCAATTATCTTAAGGTTTTGGGAGTTCAGTGCGAAGATGAAGAGGATATTGGGCGTATTTTGAGGAAGTTGGATAAGGTAGATAAGGATGTTAGTCTAGGAAAGAAGGATGTAGCTACTACTGATCCATGAATTTAGTCTCTTTCAATGTTAGAGGTTGTTGTAGTTCTTTAAAGAGAAGGAGAATATCTCAAATTATTCAAAGAGGAAGTTCCGACATTTGCCTTATTCAGGAAACTAAGACTAACAAGATGGAGGCTGCTAATGTATATAGCACTTGGAGGAATTATGACATGGATTGGTCAGCTCAGAACTCTGTTGGAAGTTCTGGTGGTATTCTTACCATGTGGAATACTACTAGAATCACAGCTTGTTCTAGTTTTTGTGGGAAAGGATTTTTAGGTGTGCACATTGTTTGGAATAATCATAGGCTTATTGTGATCAATGTTTATGCCCCCTGTGGATCAGCTGATAAGAGGGAGCTGTGGAGAGAACTGATTAAAATTAAAAGCAATTACTCTGATGTTGGTTGGATTATGGGGGAGATTTCAATACGGTGAAAAATGTGGAGGAAAGGAAAGGCCTAAGTGGTAACAACTGTAGGGATATGAAGGATTTTAGTGAATTCATTAAAGATTTGAATGTGATGGATCTACCGGTGTTTGGAAGTCGTTTCACTTGGTTCAACTCTAATGGTAAGAGCAGAAGTAGACTGCATATAATTTTGGTTGATGACCGGGTTATTTCAATGTTTTCTTTGAAGAATCAAATGGTGGGGGATAGAGACATATCGGATCATCGACCGGTGTGGTTGAAGTCCAATTTTGTCAATTGGGGGCCAAAACCCTTTAGGTCTTTCAACTGTTGGTTCTATCACAAGGATTTCATCCCTTTTGCCACGAAATCGTGGAGCTCATATCAAGTCACAGGTTCCTATTGCAACATCCTAACTAAGAAATTTCAAGCTCTTAAATCTGACCTCAGGAATTGGAATCACAATGTGTTTGGATGACTGGAGCTAAACATTGAGGATAATATTGCTAAGTTTAACAAGATGGAGTTGGAATCAGTCAAGGACTCAGACCCGCAAGCTGCTGATTTGTACAGAGAGAAGTTGCGGTACCAGGAGAAAATATGGAATAATCTGAGGATTAAAGAAAGCATGTTGGCCCAGAAATCCCGGGTTAGTTGGTTGCAAAACGGGGATCTTAATACTAAATTTTTTTCATGAATCCCTAAAATCTAAAAATCGGTCGAATCGACTTTCAGCTGTTAGAGTGGGAGGCAGAATTGTGGAAGACCCTGAGGATATTAAGTTTGAAGCTGTGAAGTTTTTAAAGGGAAATATACGCAACTAAATTCGGCTAAGTTCAGAAGTGATTTTGCTTTGGTTGCTTGTCTTAATGAGGAGGAAAAATTATTATTGGAAGCAAATTTCAGTTCTACTGATGTGAGAAAGGCTGTCTTCAGTTTTGACGGTAACAAGTGCTCCGGTGTCGATGACTTTAGTTTTAAATTCATAAAATCTTGTTGGGATATAGTTGGTTAGGACTTCACAAATTGCATCCTGGATTTCTTCAAGACAGGAGTTCTCCCTAAGATGTTCGCGTCCTCTTTCATATCGTTGGTGCCGAAGATTAACAACCCTCAACATTTTGAAGATTTCAGGACAATTACTCTGGTTAGCTGTATTATCAAGGTTATCTCCAAGATGCTTGTCTGCAGATTGAGTAAGGTTATCCACAAACTTATTTCTCCTTCTCAAACAACTTTCATTCCAGGACGGCAAATTTACGATGGGGTTCTGTTGGCCAATGAAATAGCAGACTATGCTAAGAGGTTTAACAATGATTGTCTATTTTTCAAAGTCGACTTCGCTAAAGCCTACGACTGTGTCGACTGGTCTTATCTTGATGAAATGCTTGTCAAGATGGGATTTGGTTCTAATTGGTTAAAATGGATTTGAAGCTCTGTGTGTCAATAACTATGTTTCGATTCTTACTAATGGAAGTCCTTCGAAGGATTTTAAGGTTGGAAGGGGGATGAAGCAAGGCGACACTTTGGCTCCATTTTTGTTTGCTATAGTAGCAATGGTCTGTCTTGTTTAGTTAGAGCCGCAGTTGCTGGTAACTTATTAACAGAATTCAAGATCAATGATCAAGCCACTGTGAGCATGCTTCAGTTTGTCGATGATACTCTGCTTATAGGAGATGGATCGGTTACTAATATTTGGGCATTCAAGGTTATTGTGCGTGCGTTTGAATTGACTTCTGGTCTGAAAATTAATTTCTTAAAAAGCTGTCTTTATGGGATAGGAGTAGACCCTGCTTTTCTTGTTGCAACTGAAGAATTTCTGCACTGTAAATCTGGCAGGTTGCCGTTTAATTTCCTTGGTCTTTTGGTAGGAGGAAATCATCGTCGACACTCTTTTTGGAATCCGGTTCTGTCTCGTCTGAGGAGTAAGCTATCTAATTGGGCTGGGAGAAATTTGTCAATGGGAGGTAGAGTGTCCCTCATTAACTCGGTTTTAGCTAACATGCCTATCCATTACTTGGCGTTTTTCAAGGCTCCCAAGAAAATTGTGAACGATATTATCGCAATCCAACGGCGTTTTCTTTGGGCTGGGAGTTCCAGTAAAAATTTCATCTCTTGGATTTCTTGGAACTCCATCTACAAGCCGAAGGAACACAGAGGTCTTAGCATTAAACACGTAGGTCGCTTTATTTATGCTCTTATAGCAAAATGGTTGTGGATATTTCAAAGCGGTGGAAATGAAATTTGGAGAAAGACGTTCAATCTCAGATACGGTAACTTGAGTATGAAGGTGCAAATTTTCGCCGACGTTGGTAGCTCGAATTTCGGCTCTCTTTGGATGAAGGATATTCTGTCAAGTTCAATATACGACTTCCATGTGGACTTCTACAAGTTCACGGCTTGCACTATTGGAGAAGGTCATGGTACGACATTTGGGCAGTCAAATTGGATATGAGATTTGCCGCTTAAAAGTAGGTTTCAACGGCTATTTCAGGGATGTTCCAGGAAGGTTTCGACCGTCAGTGAGATTGGAGCTTGGGAGAACGGTCGATGGGTTTGGAAAATTAGAGAAACGTTGATAGATGCAGGATCCAATATAGAACCAGAATGGATCGATTGTAGTAATTTGTTGGATCAGGTTGCACCTAACAACAATGTCGCCGATAATTGGAAATGGCTACTTCATGATTCATTTTCGTATAAGGTAAGCTCTTATTATACTGCTTTAACTTCTTCCGCCTCTGTTCACGAAATTGGTAGTGATAGCGCAACCCTTCTGGAGTTCCTTTGGAAAATGGTGTTACCGGCAAAAGTTCAAACTTTTATTTGGAGGATGGCGCTTGATAGGCTGCCTACTAGATCTAATTTGATGAAAAGAAGGGTTATTGATAATTCCCAACATTCAGATTGTGCATTCTGTTCGTCAAGCTACGAGGACGTTTATAATCTCTTCTTCTTGTGCACTAAATCCTCGTTGGTTTGGAATAAGATTTGCGACTGGGTGGATATAAAGAACATCTCGGAGGATTGTTGTAATCTTCATGCGAAGGTCTGGAACTCGAGATTTACGGGCCGGTGTAAAGAGAACAAGATCAACTCTATTTGGTTTATTTCTTGCTGGATTATATGAAAAGCTAGAAATAACATAATATTCAATAACGAAACCATTGAAGTTGATGATATCGTTTTCGTTTTCGATATTAAAGTTTACTCGTGGAATTGGTTGATATTAGGAAGACAGGAAAGTATTCATTGTAGTTTGTATGATTGGTTTAAATTCTCGTTCGATTTTTTGTAATAGACTTGACTTTAATTGTGTTTATAATCTTGTTGTTTTGAAATTTTCTTAATCTCTTTTTAATAATATTTGCTTATAAAAAAAAATCCTAATCCCATCCATAATCTCATCCACTATCCATGATATTGAATTAAATAAATTCTCACATATCCCATCTTGAAATTCACATAAGTAGATATACTTTTTCCAATATTATATTATCAAGCATCAAAGATAATAATGAAAAACCTTAAATTGAATTAAATTTAATGGAATAGATAATGGCTTTTGAATATTTGATTAATTATACTACTAAATTTTAAGGGAATAATTACATTATAATTGATAGATATTATTAAGGGATTTGAGTAATTGAAAATATAATTATAAAGAATAATTACTTTTAATAAATCCTAATAAATTATGAATAATAATTCATAATAATAATAGACTTATAGGTCATAAAAATGCAAATGAGTATTATTACCTATGAATATAAAAGAAAACAGATAAATTGATCTTCAATTTCATTTTCTTGATTTCTATTGTTATCTTCATAGAAGATATTTAGAGAGAAAAAGTGTTATGTAATAAAATAAAATCATATTATATCAAATTATTACAAAATTCAAATAGTCAACATAAACAAACTAACTTAATATTCTAGTCACTTATATAATAATCTATATTACTACTTTTATATATATATATATATATATATATATATATATATATATATATATATATATATATATATATATATATATATATATATATATATATATATATATATATATATATATATATATATATATATATATATATATATATATATATATATATATTAAAAATTCAAGATAATTTAACTAATTAAGATTTTAAAATATTTTATATTAATAACATAATAATTAATAGTTTATTATATATATATATATATATATATATATATATATATATATATATATATATATATATATATATATATATATATATATATATATATATATATATATATATATATATATATATATATATATATATATATATATATATATATATATATATATATATATATATATATATATATATATATATATATATATATATATATGATTGACAGATTATTATGTTAGTTCTGAATGATCTTAAGTTTATATAATCTTTATCTCATTTGTTTTCAAATTCAGTTATTATTTACCTATTTTTTATTTTTGTTTTTAACTTTTATTTTAATTCTAATTTATTCAATAAATAAATTGTTTTAGTTAAATTTGTATTAAAAGTTACATTGTTTTATAATAACATATCATTCAAGAATAATATAAATGATTTTTTTATATTTTAGGAATTCTTATAAAACAGTTTTATTTTAACCATAAAAACACTTCCTATTATTATTATATTAAAAGTTGAAATATATGCAAGACTATATAATTATTCCTAATCCCGCTCATTATCCCATCCACTATCATGGCATTGAATAAAATAACTTATCGCATATCCCGTTACATTAAAGTCTTGAATTTCACATAAGTAGAGATACATTTTTCAAGATTAGTAGAGATACATTTTTCAAGATTATAGCATCAGTCATCAAAGATAATGAAACACCTTGAATTGAATTAAATTTAGTGGCATAAATACTGACTTTGAATATCTGCTTTATTATACTACTAAATTTATAGGGATTAATTAAATTCTAATTAATAGAGATTATTAAAGGATTATAATAATCAAATATATGATTATAAAGAATAATTATTTTTAATAACCCCTAATAAATCATATATATTAATTTATAATAATGATAGACTTATGGGTAACAACAATGCAAATGAGTATTATTATCTCTTAATACAAAATAATTAGAATTAACAAAAGTAGAAATCCTTAATAATATATGAGGAATGATTTATTTTTATTCTATGAAATTTATTATTAGTATTGAGAGAGCACTATAATAGAAGTTATTAGATTTCAAGAGAAGAATTTAAATATAAAAAAATATAATAAAGAAAATAGAAAAGTCGATCTTTAAACTCAGTTTTTAAACTTCTATTACTATCCTTATTGAAGAAGATATTTAGGGAGAAGAAGTTTTATATAATAAAATAACATCCTATTATATAAAATTATTACAAAATTCAAAGTGTCAACTTAAAAAACTAATTAACCAAATAATCTAGTCACCAATATAATAT